TACCACAAATGCCCTCACATATCATATCTTTATTGTAAATCCCTACTATTGGTATGACATTGCTATAATAATAATTAAATAGTGAACTTTTCTCGAATTAATTCACTAACACATCTATTTTTATCACGATATGAGAACTACTAGTGACAATATTCTCCCTGTTTGTTATTATAAGCTGTAGTCATCAAAGTAAAATCATTCTGATAATTATCATGCTCATGAGTAAGTCGGTTAACTTGATTTCGTAAATTATGTCACTCTTGGATAATTTGATTAACTTGGTTCTGTAAGTTATCTCGTTCTTGGATAATCTGATTGACTTGGTCCTGAAAATTATTTTGGGTAAGCTGATTAACTTGATTTTGCAAAATGATATTCTGTTGTCTATAGAAATTGACATTCTGCTATAGCTGGACTATCTGATTATTGCTATCATCCCGTTGAGCTATAACAGCATCTATATCCTGATATGCAGATTGATAATTAAGATGAACGGCATTTAAGGAACCTCTAATACTATTTATAATATTTATAGGATTATTTAATGGCATTCCAGCATCTCGGATGTGATTTTCAATATGATTCAAGCCTCAGACGATTTGTATAAAAAGATCAAGATTCACCATATCTGTATCTTTTTCTGAATTATATAAACTTGGAGAGCTTCTTCTCGAAGAAATAACTTTGAATCTATGTCTTAAATTTTGAACTCACTCTTCTGATTCTTGTAATTGCTTCTTTATATTATCAATATAGGATATCTTATCTCGGATATCTTTTTTAGCTTGATATAAGTTTCTTTTAAGGGATGATATTTCCGATCTCAACTCTGTTTTTTCTTCCTCTGAAGTATTCTCAAGCCATTCCAGTTCTTTATTGAGAGATTGAATTTTATTCTCACACCGGGTATATTTGCGCTCTAGCTTATTTATGTATTTCTCATTTGACTTGTTGATGGCTATCTCTGATTGTAATATCTCCTGGAGTTCTTGATTAATTTGTTCCAGCTCGAGTTCTTTATCTGTAGCTGATCTATGAGTTGTTTGATTGGGAGATCAGGGTCTAGACACGTAAGTGCCCTTGTCTTGCAAGTGAAATGCCATGATTATTACGAAGTAATGAGACTCTGTCTCTATTTTTTATGACATATTATATCTTTCATAGAAAGGAGACTTTGTCTCTTATCTTATCTCTTGACTTTGCTATAACAAGTAATATTAAAAATGAGTAGATTGAGCAAGCCTATTATTAGAATTGATCCAGATGAGGAGTTAAACTTAATTTGTAAATTGCTTTTTTACCAACCTACTGGTTACCATTCCAACCCTCAAAAGCTGTATAATACTATCAAAAATAAAGGATATAACTTCCCATATAAAAAAATTCGTGAATGGTTACATAATCAGAATGAATGGCAAAAGTACACTCCACCACCAAAAAATACTCTATGGGTTAGTTATGGTAAAATTAGTCACCTGAATTGTGTGTATATATGTGATTTGCTACGTCTTACAAATAATACAGTTAATAGAAAGACATACAAATGGGTACTTACTGTTATAGATGTCGCATCACGTTTTAAATGCACCATTCCCCTAACATTGAAGAATAGTTCCAAAGTTGCTAAAGTATTTAAGAAAATTTATGATAATCCAAATAATTCTCTTATGTACCCAACACTTCTACAATGTGATGGTGGTAAAGAATTCATGGGTGAAACTGCTCGATTAATAGAAATGCATAATGTCATAATTCAAGTAATTGGTGCTTATAGTCACCGTGGATTAGCTCTTGTAGAATGATTCAATAAGACGTTAGCAGAGATGCTGTACAAAGTTCAATCTATCATTGAAACTATATCCAGAAATCCTAAATTAATAAGAGTATGAGTTAAGCATTTACCAAAAGTTCTTGAATATCTGAATAATTATCCAACATGACTTATACAAGCACCAGGCTCAAAGAAATGGAGGTTAGTACCTATAAAAGCAATTAGATTGGATAGGGTAGAATCTAGACCATCTACAAAATATAAACATTCAGTTGGTAAAGACGAAGAAAAATTAAAAAAGGGGGATACCATTTATTACTTACTCGCTAATATAGAATGGGAAGGAGGTATGGAAAATCAAAGGTGTGTAACTGATGAAATTTGGAGCTCTTCTTTATATAAAATCCAAAAAATTGTAGTAATAAGGAATGAGCCAGTATTATATTATTTAGATGGAAAATTCGCACCTACACGTGGGTTTGTACTTGAGGAACTCATACACGTAAATATTGACACACTTCAGTATCCACTCCAGAGTATATTAGAAGAAAATACTCATTCCAGGTCTGTTAATTTTGTTCATATTATTAATAAAGTGGTTAAGACTGAAGAGTATGCAAAGAAACATAATGGAAAATGTCTTGATAAAACTGGTCAAATAAATAATTTCGATATATATCTCTGGTCTTGTGAAAACGGAAAGCATCAGTGGAAATATCCATATCCATTAATAGCTATGAAATTTGAATGATATCCACTTTGCTTTCATCACACTGATGAGTATCGCTGTAGATATATTTTCGAAGATCTGTTAGGTAAGAAATTTCCATCTTGTAAACCGTCATTTTTGAATGGGATGCAATTAGATGGATATAATGAAGAGCTAAAATTAGCATACGAATTCCAGGGAGTTTAATACTACTATCGCAATAGTTTATATCACAAAAATCAAGATAATCTAGATAATCAAAGAAAACGTGATCAAAAAAAGTGAGAAATATGCAAAGAGTGAGATATAGATCTTATTGAAATACCGTATAATACTGATTTATTCCTATACATAAAACACAAATTGCAAGAGAAAGGTTATCTATAAAATATAGATATAAATAGCATGTCAAAATCAGATTATTCGTCGGAATAAAAAAATATAATATATATTTATAATAAAATGATGTTATATTGTGTATTTGTCATGGATGAGGTAAAACCTTCAAAAAAATACCAGGAAGATAAAGATGCACCAGCATGGCCTTTTCGTATCGTAATGGCAGGAGCTAGCAATTCAGGTAAGACCAATATGAATTTAAACTTGCTAACAATGCCCAAATTTTATTATATGTTTAAGAAGAAAAAGTATTCTAAGATAGGGGAACGCAATGTTAAATGCGATGATGTATTTCTTTTCAGATATCATTTAAATGAGCCAAAATATAAAATAGTTCAAGATTTTTATAAATATCTTGCCCAAGACAAATCAAAGTCCTATTATGAAGATGTCACATTTTCTACACTATCTCCTGATAAAATCCCAGATCCCAAAAAGTTTAATGCTAAAAGAAGTACATTAGCAATATTTGAAGATCTTTACTCTGACCCTCCAGCTATATAGAAAAAAATTATTCTATTTTTCACTTGAGATCATCATGAGAATATTTCCTCAATTTATATTACTCAGAAATTTCACAAAATCCCAATAGATATTCGTGAAAATGCTACTCATATTGTTCTCTTTAATGGTGGGGGCTCTATTTGAAAACTTGCAGATATTATAAGTCCCTACACTGATATAGATCTGCGAAAAGCTTCAAAAATTATTGACGGTTATTTGAGGTAAAAAGAGTTTATAGTTATAGATCTGAATAAATCCAGATCTGAGTCTTTCTCACTTCGATGGGACATCCCTCTTGATCTAGAAAAGGAGATCGAGGGATTAAAAGATAATAAACATTCTGCCTAACCAGGGCAAGATTTCAGAAGATATAATACTTTGAAATCAGATAAAATAAGATATAACAATCGAATAATTATTTTTTCAGTTATTTATTAATACAACAATATAAGTACATCCTACTCACCACTTCTTATATAATTGAGAAGATACACGTATTCAGCCTAGTGTATTTCATATCTTACTTGACATTTTGTAAAGATGTATGTATCCAACCTGTGCTTTTATATTAAAATAATAACTTCTATATTATTATAATGAAAAAATTATCTTTAAGTGATGCTCAAATAACTGCTAAAAAACGTAATGGAAAATGTCTTTCCACTCAGTATATCAATGCCAAAAGCCTCTTGGAATGGAAATGTAAAGAAGGTCATATTTGGTTAGCACCTCTTTACCGTATAAAAAATCGTGGCACATGGTGTCTATATTGTGCTAATAATCATAACCGTCTTACTCTCGAAATTGCAAAACAAATAGGAGATAGTAAAGGAGGTAAATGTCTTTCTATCCAATATATTAATAATACAATTCCATTAAAATGGCAATGTAATAAATCGCATATATGGTATGCATCCCTTAGTAGTATAAAAAATCATAATACATGGTGCCGTCAATGTGTAAAATATGGATTTAAATTAAATCTTGAAGAGATGCAGAAAATCGCGCAATTACATGGTGGTGAGTGCCTTTCTAAAAAATATACCAAATCCAGAGATCAATATTATTGGAAATGTAGCAAGGGTCATATTTGGTATACATCCTTTAATAGTATTAGAAATAAAAATAGTTGGTGCCCATTTTGCTCAAAATTCAAACGTGAAGAATTATGTCGAGAAATTGTATCAAAGTATCTTGGACCGCCATCTAAGATACGTCGACCTGATTTTCTTAAAGTATCAAAATATTATACAGGATTAGAACTTGATATTTATTACCCGGAATATGGTTTTGCAATTGAAGTACAAGGAGAGCAACATGAAAAATATATTGAATTCTTCCATAGAGGAGATCTCAATAATTTTGTCCGACAGCAAAAGCGGGATCAACTCAAGAAAGAATTATGCGAAGAAAATTGGATCGTTTTAAGATATGTTTGGTATTATGAAGACCCATATACAGTTATTCCGGAACATCTTCGAGAATTGGGATTATATGAGTAATCAAGCTACTGTGTGTTATGAAACAATAATTAAGGGTGCGAGATTAATTAATTAACTGTATTGAAGCTCTTACATATTTTCTATCATTTTTTGTAGCAAATCAGGTAAATTTTCATTAACTACACCCATTCAAAAACGCGGTGAGCCTAGCCTCATCTACAATATCTAAGAACTTTAATGGGTTCCCTGGCTCATGTACATATGCCAGTTGATCTGTAACATCATTACCGACAAGGGCATATTCCACTTGATTTCCGGGACATTCTTCCCAGAGTAGGAATTTGGCTCGAACCCACTTGGTCCAATTATTGTCGTCGCCAATAGAAACCTCCAAACTCTTGGATGCACGAATTTGTTCCGCAGGCGCCCCATATCCCCCAGCTGTTAATCTCACTGTACTCCACCCCATCCTCCCAAGCACCCTTTTAACATGATATGGCAAGATCGTTTGTGGTGCACCGGTATCAACCACGCACGTATACTTTTTGTTTTTATTCTTGGTGTCATAAAAATCCTGTGGAAGCAGAGCGATTAAATTATTTTCACCAGGTCTTCTGACGCGAACTCTGATCTTTTATTTGGAAACATCAAAATAACTTGGAATTGTAAATATTAAATCTTAAACAGTTCTTGTCCATTACACATTGAAACCTTGTAATCGTCTCCATTATTAGTACGTTGACCAATCACCATCTTCGCTGGCTTACTACGTGGTAGACGTGTCTGATCAACAGGAAGTTGGATAGCACCAGGCATAGTCTCAAGAATGTAGTTCAATTGATCATCTGTATACTCCTGTCCATACTCAATTACTTTCTGGTTGTGCACCGTTACCCATTCGTTTTCATGTCCAGCAAATTCGCCTTTGTCGAGTGCGTTGTAAAAAAATATGAAGTTAAACCCGATCTCGTCGTCAAATTCGAACTCAACGTCAGCAATTTTTCTGAAGGAATTCCTCCTGAAGCGTTCTGGCATCGAGGAAGGCCACCTGAAGTTGTTTCCTACACGAGCTATAAATAGGTTAAAGAAATATTTTAGCATTAACACTACTTAAATATATAAAAGAAAACTATAACCCATTACCAAGAAACCTTTGCGCTTGACCAGGCTCTTCCTCATACGCGAGGTGGGACTCCACAGTTTCAGGTAGGTTGGATATTGTACTAGTGGCGATTGGAGCGTCAAGATGAAGTGCGTCAAGTGTGCTGATGATTGTAAGGTCTTGAGTTATGGTTGAAGCGTCTTGAGCCATGGTATCTTGAACTATGATTGAGGTGTCTTGAACGTCGTTAGTCTCGGACTGATCGCTTGCTGAAGTGAGAATATTTGTTGACAGTTCAGGTTCGCGACTATTTATTATGGGATCGATTGAAGCGCTTTGAACTGTGTTTTCTTGAGCGATGTCGGCACTTTGAACCGTGTTTTCTTCAGTGATGTCGGCGTTTTGAGCTGTAGTGAATAGTTTCTTTAACTATTTGAGTACAATATAACTCTGACAGTAACAAAAAACCGAACCTTTCTTTTTTCCGAAAAACTTGGATATCCTATATTTAGTTTTTTTCCACATGGCTGGTTTAAGAAAAAAGCGTGATAATCGTCGTATATATGGCCAAAGCTACACAGGCGACAGGAGTTACGTTTTGGTGAAACAAGGCGTTTTCAAAAAATATCAATCATGTGAACATTGACATCATACAGTAACATCTCATTATATATACGTATTAGCAATTTTTCTGATCGTTTATTTTATTCGTACATATACATTATTACACATAACGCATCGTTGGCCTACATTTGGGATAACGATAATCGTTGCATGATCTATTTCGGGTGTAGAAACTATTTCGGGTATATGGGACCTATTTCGGGTAGTAACAAAGTGAAACAGAAAAAAAATGACAGATCATGTGACTTCCGATCACATTCTGTCTTTCCGGAGTTCCGCCCATGTAGATCTCCTTTTTTGGATTTAGTTTAATGGGTAATATTTATATTTGGTATTACATGTATTAGTTTAATTAAATTGTTACTAATATTCAGAAGAAAAAACACAATACTTTTCGCACTAACATATAAATTGTGAGACATCAGCATTCAACGCAACCAAAAAGTCAATCGTCGACCTCTGGAGTGCTACATGGTATATTACTGAGTCCTTGCATTAAGAACTTCATAACATCCGTCAATTTCTTGTGCAAGTAACTTGATCATTCTTTCAAATTCTTGTACGAATCTATCATTTTCCGCATTTTCTTCTAACAAAGATGTGCCTAATTCAAATATCCGTCTAATCCTATTTATTGCATCTCTATTTTGTTCAGAGCCTTGACGTCGATTAATGGTGATATGAGAATTACTTGTAGATGCTGTGGGTATGCTGATAGTTCACGTGTACCTATTCCAAGGATCATTGTGTATGCTGATTTATTGATGACAATCCATATCAAAGGAGATAAATGGATAATCATGCTGGCACTTTGTGAAGGCAAAGCGAGGAAAGAAATCTGGTGCCGAACTGGTTTTCTTCGCAACAAGATGCTTGCACATCGGAAAGCGATTATTTAGAAACGCGGGACATGAACATATCCAAGTTTCTAGATATGTATTATATCTTTCTTCCTCACTGATTGATCTTTGGCTAAGCTCTAACCATTCTTGTTTGAAAGTATTCCACCAGGCGGGAAATGTACATCCATTAAGATAAAGTGCTACTATATCCTCCATGTCTTTGACTAGTTGTTGTGTTAGTATTTGAGTTAGTTGATTAAGACGTGGGCGATTATAATTGTACTTATAATTATACTTGAGTACTTTCTAATGAGACTCAGTAATCATTGTTATCCAAGCGATTGGCATTGCATTGGCATATGAGGTACGGGCGAATAACTGCCAATCCTTACGATTATACTAATTGCACCAAAGATATCCCCATACTGCAGCATAATTTTTTTGCCAGCAGTATTGATAAGTCTCTTGAGTACAAAGTGTATATAGTTCTGAAGATGTGAGGAATTGATCTGTATCAAAAGGTATCAAAGGATGCAAAAGAGTGTGCTTTTTTATCATTTGTAATATTTCCTTAATTTCCTCTTCAGTGCATTTGCAGATTTCTTAACCTCTAGGAAGCCATGTTGGATCGATAAAGCTAAATTATCAGTGAGCTTCGCTAGATTTCTTAGCTGTATATTGACTTCTATGAAATTTTTGCTCACTTAATTTTTTTTCTATAGCATGCTTAATATGCCATAAACAAAGCTGAATATTTGGTATCCATGACCAAGCTTCTTGTGTCACTGCTATCTCTCCAGCATTTTTGTCCAGTAATATAAAACTTGGTTGAATACCCTCATTTTGCAATACTTCAAAGAATTCTCGTAAGGCACCAGTACGTGTGTTTATTACGTTTGCTGGATCAGATACTCGGTCTTCTGATGCGATATAAGTGTCTAGGAAAAGGTATGCTAGAGGTACACCATACCCACCACAGTTATTATTTACAG